GACACATCGTGTCCAGGATTTCTTGAGCCATTCCCGGCTCCACCGATACCACCAAGGACTCACAGGAGCACCAACTGTTTCGCCTAGCTGAAAACTGCTTGTGGGAGCAGTTCACCGCCGAGGGCCGGCGCACCAACAGCTACACCTGCCGCTACATTGCGGATTTGCAAGAAGCCACCAAGGGCCTTCTCTGGAACGACCTGTTTGTCCACCTGAAGGGCAAGTTGGTCGGCCCTCATCATGAGGACTTCGTGCGCCTGGCCGCGGACATCCATCACCTGCGCTCACCACCTTCCTCGTCTTCATCCTCGAGCTCTAGCACCGCCTCGGACACCGAGCCGCCTGAGCCAGCATCCTCATCAGGTCTGCGTCGCTCACCATGACGGCCTTGGAGCGGAACCTCGATGTCGTGGAGTACCCCGCCTGGGACGACTTGCCGGGAGCCACCAGACGTGACTGGGCGCTTTTCTGTGGCCAGGACATCTCCTTGCACGAGGTCCTCAACCCACCGATGCAGGTCCTTGCCGAGTTTATGGAGGACGTCCCCATGGGCATGCAGCGCGAGTTCCCCCTTGGTCAAAGACGAGTTTGCCCCGATGTGTGCACCCGGCAGACCTGTCGCAGACCTCATTGCGAATGCATCCACCCCGATTTTGTAGACCACGCCTGGGTTCCCCTAAATTCCCCGTGTCGTAACTTCTTTCGGGGTCATTGCACCAAAGAAGGCGGTTGCCCCAATTTGCAGGCCGACACCTTCCCCGAGGCGGTCTATGCAGCATTCCGCCAGCTGACAATGAAGAGGCCATCCACGCGTCTACACTATGTGCAGCGCCGGGCCATCTTCAGGTTCGTCACCAGGTCCGAAGCCATGGACATGATCCTGACGTCGTTAACCACCAGCGACACCATGGCAATCAAACAATTCATCATGGGCATGAGTTGGACCAAGTTTTCCACGGCATCCTCGTATGATAATCACCTTGCCCGTGGCGGAGTACCCGAGATGGACCCCCGTACCAGCAAAGGAGGATACGGGAGACACGGCCACCGGGCACGCTTCCCCACACCTACTAGATCAAGATTTCCATCCCCGCGGCGAGACCGTGCGCCATCGGCTACACCAACGCTGTCGCGCCCATTGCAGACGACTACTTCATCAAGCTCCACCTCGGGTTCGGCGCCATCGTTTGGACAGCCAGCAGAGCAGCAGTCAAGCGCGGCACGCGTGCAGGCACCACCGATAAAGGCCATGCCCAAAGACCTGCCGGCGCACCTGGGCGCCCCGAAGCGAGCGCCATCACCACACAACAAGCAGCCAGCCCGACAGCGCGCGGAGTCACCAACGGCCAGATTTATGCCACAAGCAACAGGCCGCATCCCCACCACCTCGCAAAGCTCCACCTCCTCTCCCGCCAGACTCGGACGAGGACGTCCGAACCGGCAACCACCACCTCGACCACCAGTGGCTCTGCCAAGGCACCGCCCCCGCCATTGGCCCAGGACGACCACGATCCCTGGAATGATTTCTCACAGCAGCGGGCGGACCCCGTTGGAGCTTGTCACACCTGCAGTGGCTTTGGCCAGGTCGAGTTCCCCGCACCGCAGAGAGTGCGCCGCATCGAACCCCAGCTTGGGCCGCGGCCGAGAGTAATCGATCCTTCGCTCCGGCAACCACCGCAGCAGCCCAGTACATCGCAGTGTCTGGGACGACACCTGGCCCACCGACACCACAGCAGTTTCCACCGGCAGCCTTGCCACCACTACACCCAGCACCATCATCACAACCATCCGCCCGCTGGCACCGGCAGCACCGTCGCAGCAACACAGCATCTTTACGGAAGGGCGGCAAGGATGCAGCAGCGCACTCCCCATTCGGGCCACGGTACCGTGCTCGCTCGACCACGCACCCACACCACCGAACCCCATCCTTCCACAAGCATGGGGGTACACGGGCAATACGCTGCCAGCGAGGGCAGCCATCGTACACAACATGCTTACACCAGTGCCAGCTATGGCGCCGGACGATGTCGCACAGTTTCCCCCTGGCAACTACCCGTACTTGGCCTTTGCCCCGACCGTGGTTCGTGAACACCTCCATGTTGCAGGCGGTCGAGTTTGCGTTGGACTACCACGTCACCAAGTCCAGGCTCACCGACTTCGGCCTCGTGATCCAGGCCCCCAACACCTACAGACGCACGCCGACGGTGGAACGCGTGCTCATCATGCCTCTTCCTGCTCAGGGCACAGACCGCGCCGTGCTCGTGACCCGCGCATACGTCTGGGCCCTCGTCACTGGAGACTTGCGACAGGTTGGCTTCAACAACCCGGAGTCCTGCTACCTCGTTCTCCGCGACTACATGGCCCTGGCAGTGCACGTCCGCAGGTTCACCCAGGACAGACCTTCCGTCGAGCGCTACATCATGGCCTTCACCGACGCAGTTCTGGACTGCGTTTGTTTCATGCTGCCGATGGCGTGGCGGACCCGGTTCACCGACGACTGGGCGCAGGTGGTCACCGTCAGCGGCAATCCGCCTCGACTCCATTGGCGCCGCGGCATGTGAGCGCCTCTTGCTGAACGTGTCTCGATCGACTTCCCACCGAGGTGAAGGGTCGTGAGAGATGCGTCACCGCCAAATTAGCATGTTCCCCCGATCCTTTCCCACCGAGGTGACGGAGGTGACGGGAAACCTTGTTTATGAATGCATACCTCTTTGAAGCTCTTCACCTCGCAGCTGTCGCGGGTCCCTTACCACCGAGGTGACGGGGGACCCTGCGTTCAGACTTTCGAAAAGCATGTCGCCCGACAGCAGAGTGTAAACAAGCCCCGCCTCACATCAATAGTGTAAGACATGTGCAGCTAGACAGAGTCAGGGACAACATGTTCACCATCTCCACATACAGATCCGACATGTTATGTGTCGAGTAGGAGCTTCTAGGAGCCTGCTGTGAACCATGTGACCAGCTTGGCTCTGCACGTTATGCGCAGCACAGTTTCAGCTCTTCCCCGTGTAGCCCCCCATAGGCCTTCTCCCCATTTCATCTTGGCAATGGCAGCATCAGGGTCGGCATCTCGGTCCGACCGCGTGCAGCCCATCGACGCTGACACCGCCAAAGGGATGGTCACCGAGCAGATGGCCCGCGTGCAGAACCTCGCTATGGAAGTCATCGCCAAGCGCTCCGCCCTCGAGAAGACAGCTCTTCGTGCTCTCCGCGCCAAGTACCCCGGCACCACCACGGACGAGCTGGTCCGCATCTGGATCGACAGGCTTACACAGGCAAGTCACCATCCGACATCACGGATGCCCTGGGCGACGATGTCGAGGAAATGGCCACCGCTGCCACCAACAAGGTCACCAACTATTTGCAGCTCTTGGCACAGAACGAGTCCACCACCCACCACGACAACTGCCTTGACTGCACGTTCTGCGGGTCTTGGTTCCCCGACTTCTGGCTGCTGGACCTTATGCCGCAAGGGACATCAGATTGGCGGCGGCAGTACTTCCGCTGCTGCTACCAGTGTGCATCGGGTGAGAACGACGAATTGGCACCCGGAGCACCCAACATTGTCCCCGGCACTTCACCGTCAACCTGGCGCAGCCGTGAGTATTGGACGCACCGATTATGATCACCAGCAACGACAGCCAGTGGCCAACCTCGACGCGGACTACCACCAGCAGCCGAGATCTTGGGTCATCGCGATAGATGACGGCAACACCAACCAAAAGCGCCTGCGCATCGAGGCCTCCAAGATGCGCTGGGTCCGCCATCACGTGGTCACCAAGGCGGGCAACCCCAAGGGCTCCAACCAGTTGGACATCGAGACCTGGTATAGCATCTGCCAGAAAGTCCCAAGCGGAAGGAGGGCGCCGAGCGCTGCAGGCCCCGGAACGTCCATTGGGTCGAAGCCACCAAACAGATCGCCGAGGAGATTTGGGGGCCAACAAGGAGGAGCTGAGACAGCTCCTCCGTGCTCGGATCCTCCATATGGTGGACCAATTCACCGCCGACATCCTCGCGACCACCGAGGTTCAGCGCGCGCGGATGATGGCAGCGTATCGTCAGTGGGACGAGAACACCTTGAAGTCCGCCATCGATCCAAATTGGGATCAGCATTCCTTCTTTGAGCGCGCCTACACCGATAATCACCTCATGGACTGGGCCCACCAGATTACGACCCGCATCGACCAACACTACATCTGCAGGAAGGTGGGCTGCCAGGCGGTCATCGACAACAGACACTGGCTGCGCAAGATTTCACCAGACGCCACCATTGCATCCCAACATGGCAAGTACTATTGCCCCCATTGCCCTGGCATTACCGCCCCTGGGTTGAGGAGTCCGACCTGGTCCCCGCGCAAAAGGCACTCGTTGTCGCAGTCAAGGACTGGCACACCGGAGCCCAGGTCCTCAAAGATCGACGAGTCACCACGGCGCCAGACACCAATGCGCAACAGCATATCCTCTATCTCATGGAGTGGGAGCGCACCGAGGAGGACGTTCTGGTACAGAAGCTCAGGGCCGCCATCCTCGGCATCCAGGAGGAGGTTTCCAGCCGCGATAACTTCAACGCGTTCCAGGACATCATCTACCGCAATCACGCGGCCAGGCCACCATTTCGACTGGACCTCCTGCCCACCACACAGCGCCCAGACAAGTTCTTCAACGAGGTCTTCAACGACCCCGCCGCAGCGCGCGGCTACACCATGGAGCACTTCGTGGCTGACCCGCCCATCTATGACATGACGCACTACACCTGGGACCCGGACACCACGAAGGTCATGTCGACCCCTGCAGGTCCATCGCCCTGTCTTACCTGCGCCTCCGGCTGATCCAAGACCACAAGCAAGGCCTCCTCCGTACCACAGCCAAGCGGGACGCCTCGCAGATGAGCACCGAGTGAGGGGGTTCTGAAGATGTCAGACGGGGGGTTCCCACCGAGGTGAAGGCTCCCTATCGGACATTCATCAAGCTCAGCCCCAAGAAGGCTGTGACATAGATGCCCCCTAGCATTTCACCATTCGGGCGACGGCGG